TCTATTTCACAGCACTAAATAGGAAACATACAAGTTTTACAAGTCTTACTGGGATCTAGAAACATCTCAGGCGGTTCATTGTAGGCGAACAGAAAAAATAAAAACAGTTTGTGGTTGTTTCCGTGAAAATGTCACAGTGCCATGCTGCCCCCTAGCTGTAATAAGGCTACAGTAAGTGAGTAAAGCTTTATTTATATAGGACTTTCAAAGATATCTGCTTTCATTGTTTTGGTTCTTTCCTAGAAGATCAGATGATAATATGTGCATTTGGAGTTTTGTGAGTTAATTGATGTAAAACAAAGTCCTCACTATCAATGGAAAGGCTTGCTTCTGTGCTTTATTATTTTCCACAGATATGAACATTAGTAATGAAGTGGCAGACAGTAAATGGTTTGTACGTGGGAGGGGTGGCTGGTTTTTATCTGAGCGGTCAGACCTCTGCAGACCCAGAGGGACCTAAACAGGGAGGTCTCCCACTCAAACAACCCACATACCTCCCAAATACTTGATGATTAATAGCTTGCTATAAGGCTTTTTAATTTATGGCTGGTTTACCGTATAAAGGTTGATGACCCACTTGTAAGTTCAGTAACTCAATCTTATTTTAAGATCAACACACAATTAATATGTTTTCATTTTAAGAAATACTATCAACATTACTCAGGTGGATGCCTCAATACAGCAGGTCAAACCTGCTTTCAGGGCTTTTGTGTTTGGAGTCACTGTCAAGTATCTCAGCTCTTTCATGATCAACACATAGTTTCATTATTTAACCACAGAGTCAATTTCTATAAAGTAATGTATTCAGAGGTTGCAATTAGTTATGTGAAGGACTACTTAACTTATATTGGCTTTTTAAATTGCATTAAAATTATTTCCAGCCAAGCATCTTGATACATAGATTCTGATTAATTAACAGATGATCAGATTAGTAACCTATTAGCTTACTTTGCAGATTTCTATATCAAAGTATCAATAACAGGCCTGAGCTATACAAGAGGTAAGTGAGAGGGGAAATAAGATAATTCATTGCTTACACAGTATAAATCTTCACATGTATCTCTCAGTTATTGTGTCAGATACTCTTTTTTATGACACAGAAATGTCAGCAAATAACCTCTCTAGCGTCCCCCCTCTCTTTTGAATTAAATCACTTAGATCACTGAACATGTGCTTAATCAAAGGCTGAGCTGTCATTTCCTTTTATTTCAAGCCTTTCCGTTGGAAAAACTCTTGAAAGGGTAAATAGTTGGACAGTAATTTTGGAAGATCTGCACTTCTAAAGCCTCAGCTGAACTTTGGAAGTCAGTTTTACACAGAACAAGGACTGTGGCATTTGTCCCATGAAAAAATATTAGGGAAAGTGTGGAAGAGAGACAGTAATCAATAACAGTTTTTGTTTTAAGACACATTTAAAAAAAATGTGAAGCTATTCTTTACACATTGAGTACATCGAGTACACATTGCTAAGAAAAGAAGTTTGCAAAGCAGCTTCGATCCATGTGAGCACAATGTTCCTTGAACAGAGCAAAGCTATTTTTTGAACCATCACTAAACTGTTGCTTAATTAAAGGGACACTTCACCCATTTGCATTAAGCTTTGTATCGTTAGAAACCCAGTCATATTTTTGAATGGTCGTGCACCATTCCCTCATTTTCCCCTGAGACGGAGAAATACGGATTTTGAGTGTTGCACTTCCTGCTTCCTAATTGATTGTTTATGCAAGCAGAAATCAGATCAATATCGCTACAATTGCAATCTACTGGAAAGCAGGAGTTCTCATATTCTGTACGTAGAGGGGGTGAGACTACAAACACTCTTTTCTCGGTCAAATAGGCACCAAATTCAAAATTTATGTTACATTTCGACTACATATATAACCCACTTTCAATAAAGATTAATGTTTCCACGGGTGAAATGCTTCTTTAAGGTTGCAACACAGTTCTGAAAACAGTGCGTCATTGTGAAGCTATGTCATCTTATCACAGACAGCACATTTGTCTGTCAGCAGTTGTAATGTTTTTTTTCTGTCAAGCAGTCACTAAAACACAAGTCAACCTGAATTCCACAACCACAATAACATTGAACAGACAACAGCTATTGTTGCTGGTTTCAACAGCAAAATCCTACACAAGCAACTGCTACCGCACAGGAGAGAAGGTCAAACAGCTTCTACTTCGACGTGCAGCAACAAACAATACACACAACTTAATACTGGGACACATTATTAATTAAAGTACTCAGATACGTTTTCATACATGACTTTTACATGCAGTGGTGTATTTGTACTGTGTGATATTGATATTTTTACCCAACCTTCTTTTAGTGTTGATTCTGGTGGCCCCCTGTGGATGCAATTGATAGTGTTTCCACCACCTCGTTTCATTGATTTCAAGGGGAATCCGATTGAATGACAGACGTTAAGAATAATTACATAAAAATAGCCAGTCTTCCTGCTGATGGTCTTGTTTGTTTATGTAGGTCAAATACAGGCATGGGTATTAAATTGAGACTGTTTCATAATCAGTTCAAAACTCTGTGTAGGTTTAAGTATTATAAGCTTAATGTAATTAAAGTATCTCAATGCAGACAAGTGCAGTTTCTTCATAAAGTAATACCTATGTATTGATTTAACAATGCAATTGTTTTGGCTTTTTTTCTTTAGAGACATGAAGCTTAAACTGAGGGGGCAAAGCCTAAGCCCCCTTTAGCCCCCTTGTGGCACTGGGCCGTATTATAATATTATGTAAGAAGCATTTTACTGCAACTAATGTCATTATTGATCAATGTGCTGATTATTTCCTTAATTAAACATTCATTGTTTGGCCTGTAGAAAGTCAGAAAACAGTGAGAAATGCCTTCACAATGCTTATTTTGTTCAGTCATTACTCAGTTTACTGCAATCTAAGACAAGTAAAAGCAGCAAATCATCACATTTAAGCAGCTGGAATTATGATTAATCAACTAATCGTTTCACCTCTAAAAAGATCTAATGGGCAGTTCAATCTTTACTAAAAATATTTCCCTCTGAATTGTAGTTGAGTAAAAGTATAAACTAGCTGAAAATGGAAATACTCAAAGTTCAAGTACCTCCAATTTGTACTTAGTACTTTAGTAAATGTACTTAATTTAACTCACATACAGGAGCTTTGTTAAGGAGCAAAGTGAGTGTAATATATTGCTCTTTTTCAGTCATATGCACTCTATATACTTGTTCTATATTTGGTCCATGTACTTGGTCCATTTACTATAATATCATTCTTGTCAGATCGGCCAAGTGGAAATTAATCCAGCACTGAATCTAAATCTGATAATGAAACAGTGAGACTACAATCATGACAGGAAGTGAATATCATATGTTTATGGGAGAGGATTTCCACATGGATTTCCACATGACATGGGCTTTGGACAGAGGCCTGGCTGTGTGACTGGCTCAGTGATTGCAGAAGTAAAGAAACACCATTTGTTTGATGTCTGGTAAATAATTAACCACTTCGGCTTGTAGAAATACCTCTTATATTGTTCTGAGAAGTTTTCTTTTCATATTTGGTGATGTACTGTGACGTTAACTAACTGCATACTACTTAAAATAATGTACATCTGAACAGGTTCTTGTTTGGCAACTTCAGACTTTAAACGTGTTTCTCTGTGACTCTGTGTCTCCAGTTTCTATTAAGAGGGAGTGACTGCAGTCCATTCATATGAGGAATGTGATCTGTCCGTCAGTATGATTGTCTGTCTGTCCTTTAAAGACATTATAGGACAGGATGAGGTAGTATAAACTGATGAGCATTAATTCATCGTGTTGAACTAGGAGATGTTGCAGTTGTGAGGCAGAAGGTAACAATAACATTAAAAAATAATGTTTGCCGTGTTGTCTTCCTTTTCATCACTATCCACTATCAACAGTATTAATAATTTATTGGCCAAAGCGACTCCTGTATTACAAGACACCTCCTGTACCTTTAGTATTAACCAGTTTCTGACTTTATTTAATTGGAAGAAAGTATTCACATCATTTACTCAACTAAAAGTAGCAATACCACACTATAAAAATACTCCATTACAGGGTTAACCCTTACCCTAAGTACTCATTATACAGAATGAGCCCTACAGTATGAATGTGATATTGTTATATAATTGGATCATCATTAATATTAATATGTAGCCTAAGCGGTTCTTAGATCAGTCAAGGTAGCCCTCATTTGAACTACTCTTGAAGAAAAATCATTCAAGTCTAGTTCAGGTTTGCTGTGCTGGTGTGAGTTTAAAAAAGCATGCCGGCATCCTGGTGAACTTACATACACAGAGCAGGTCTGAGTCGGTAAGCGGACCCAGAGCAAATGAAATGATTAACAGTATGTAAATGTCAGCCATTGATCAGGCAGTCTGCAGACGTTACATGATCAACATTGAAGTCAGAGGGAAGTAAGACAAAAGGTAGTGGTCAAACCAAATGTGATTACCAATGGAGACAAAGGGAAGAAGGGTGGGTGTGGGGTTTGAAAGGAAACAAACCAGTGGGGGAATGTGAATTTTCTTCATCACTACTTTATATAGTGTTGAGTTAATCTGTACAAATACATTACATGTTATAAAATAATCCTGTGCTTTGTGTGTAACTAGTATCTATAACTGTCAAATAAATGTAGTGTAGTAAAAACTACAATATTTCAAGTACAAAGTAGGATAATATTTCTTTTGATAAAAGGTTAATATGATAAAACAATACCAGGTTAATAAAAACTGTGAAGTAGACTATGTAGTAGAAATATGTTTTGCAGTTATTAGAGAGACACATATTTGCATTATAACCACAGCAGAGAAATATTGTGAAACTCCTCTACTGTAAACAGTAACCGGCTCCTCCTATTAGCCACTCCTATTGATAAGAAGTGCTCCACCTGTCCCAGCCCGAGTAAGAGGACCCGCCCTGTGAAAGTCCTGCTCTCAGGGCAGGAGGCACAGACCAGGGAGGCGGCTGAAATGTGGCCCGACTGGTCTGATGGGAACTCAGGCACAGAGAGAGCAAGAGTGTCAGAGTGAGAGAGGCAAGGAGGTTGCTGAATGACTGTCAAGCCTGTCAACCAGGTGGACTTAGGAGCAGTTTGGCTGGAATTAAAACAATGACATATTTGTGTTTGTGTTGCTGAGTGTGGAACTGGATTGCACCTGATCATCACTGACTGAGAGGGAACCTCGGGGGGCTCTGTGGACTCCACAACTAGACGTGACAGAGTGGAATTTCCCTCCTCTTCCCTGGCTGAGCCGGGGGCAGATGGTCGCTCTGAGAGTTTGAGCAGAACTCAGGAAGGAAAGTGAGGGAAGGGTGGGAGGAGGTCCAGAGAGGGAGAGGGAGAGGAAGAGAAGCGAGGAGTGGACAGAAGAGGAGACATGCTTCGCTACGGTTCAGGACGAAGTGTTTCCACCACCACCACCACAACAGAGGACTCTCCAGAGCCTTCAAGTGAGGTAAGAAGTCCCAGAGAAGTCAGAACTCTGAAAATCTTCCTCTACCTCCCCCCCTTCTTCTCTGTGTTTTGCAAACAGTCCTGTGTTTTTTGTTTCCCTCCCTCATCTGTTTTCCCCTGGTTGCTTTTAACTCTGCAGCCACTTGTTTCTTGTCTGTTTCCGGCCAGTGAGACAGATTTTCTGGGTCCCAGCTAACTTTTTCTGTCCACTGATCATCTGAAAGTTCATGTTGGATATAGGTTGTGGTCACTTACAAGAGCATGTAATGGGAGCCGTGCAGCAGGCAGGGCTGTCATGTTTATTTGAACAGCTCTCTGATAAAACTGGCCTTTGTACTGAACCGGCCTTTAAATGATTCCCATTGTTTTCTGAGGAAGAAAGAAGCTATTATAATTTAGTTAACTGAATATGATATGTGTTCATTACTGAAGGGAGGTTCCTGAAATAATGTCTTTGGAATAAAATCTTTCAAAATGTCTCATTTTAAATGTTTTGTTGTTACTCAAACTGTGGTGTAAATATTTGGATGTGTGTTTCTGTAGCAAAGTTTTACATTTACATAAACTTTGCAGCTCTGTTGTCTTAGTCTATAAATAAACCCACAGTAGTGGACAGTTGAGGTCTGTGAGAATTGTCAATTGTTCCACCACCTCAGTTTCAGTGATGTTTTAATTACAACTCTTCTCTCTCCTCTCTCATGATGACATAATGCAAAAACTCATTGGCCTGCAGAACATTTTTTTATTTGCCTTTTGTCTGTTTGTTTTTCTCAGAGGAGGATCAGACGCCTCAGGTTAACTCTACATGCGGGGGATCATGAAAACAAGAAGCCAGGAACTGCAAACTCAGACACAGTAAGTCGTATATCTCTGTCACTGAAACTCCTACAATTAACCATGCTACATACTGCCTATAAGTCTTTCTTGACAGCTCTATTTAGATAAAGGTTTAATGAATAGAGTTAAATTAACCCTTAAATTCCCTCTTTGTTTCAATAAACCAACTGAATGTGTGTGTGCCTCTCTCTCACACACTAAAAAATAGCGATATGGGAGAATGATAAGCACCAAAAATACAACATTAATTCATCATAAAATACAAATACTAGCATGAAAGATGGTGGAGCAACTGAGATTTTTTTTTCGTCTTGACCAGTTACACAACCATGACAGGAGGGTGTGTGCGTGTGATAATGCACACGCAGCTGTTTCACATTTACTTCAAAGCTCAACTCTGACAGTAAATCTGTTCCATACAACAGAAAATATTTGAAATACTTTTTATGTTTAATATTTCACAGAGACACCTGAGACACCTGAGAGCTCAGTGGAAACAGTATTGACTCAAACATTAGTAACCAAACAAACATAGCTCATAAAAATGCTATTTGCTTATTGGAGTGCATAATTACACTCTGTACAGTATCAATGTCTGTTAGTGCACATTGTGACTGTACTGAGTATGTTGCAGGCTGTGTGGGTGTTTGCTGTAGGTTGCTCTGCCCCTGCCTTTGTTTGTGTTCAGAATTTGTGGTCCAGAGGCTGCTGTCAGAGTTTAAGTGTGAGAACTGAGTGAGACTTTACTCATTGTTGGCACTGCAAAGGTTTTTGGACATTTTAACTGTGCATAACAAGGTGATTTGTTTTGTATGAACCTTGGCCAAGGCGTATGGTGTTCGTCTAGTTACCACACATCCACACTGATAGCACACTGCCGTAATCTCCCAATGTGCTTCCCTTTGGGAGGGTGTGACCATGACTATTGGAACTGATGGTAGAGGACAGTCTAATCAAGAGCGAACACAAACTGGAGGGTAACACACACATGTTCTTGTGTACTTCAGTGTGTGTTCAGTGAGGACCCTGCAACTGTGCAGCTCACTCTCCCTCGACAGACATCATCAAGGATTTTAATGTGGAATAACAGCAGGATGGCAGTTAAAGTATAATGGAAATGATGGGAGGAAATGTAGAGAGTAAATAAAACAGTACATAAAAATCAAAACATAATTAGAAATGGCCTTACAGGGGGAAACTTCTGTCCAAAGGTAACAGAGTCAGCCCCAGCACCTCTGAAGGTCACTAATTACCATGGTATACAGTATCTTGTTTGTTTAATCTGAAGCCCAATGTACTGAAAACTTGTAAAAAAAATTAAAATTTGTTGTTTTATGGCAGGGGGTTATGTGTAATTGAGCTTTAGAGGTGGTTGGAGGCAGATTTCATTAGAGCCAGGCCCTTTTGCAGTCTTTATGCTAAGCTAAGCTAACTGCTGTAGCTGGTGTAGCTGGTGGCAGCTTCATATTTATTATACAAACATGAGAGTGGTTATCAATCCACTCATCTAACTCTTGGCAAGAACTCCAATTAAAAAGTATTATGGTGCCAATTTGAGTAACATTTTTCACTCAATAGAAACGAATTGAAATTATAAAACAAGCTGATATATAATTTGCTTGTGAAACTGTAGTACCGTGTGGAAAAACACGACCATGAAGTCATGAAGGGGAAACTGAAGGGGAATATCAGGGTTCAAGAGGGTAACAACTCACCTCTCCAGGTCCTCGTCATTTACTCATTATATGCATTCAGCGCTCAGCCCAGAGCTCTGTGCAGGTGTGGCAGTAATTGCTGTGACACGTCACTCTTGTCCCTTACAACAACATTTAGCTCAAATACCAGCAGTGTTCAACAGGCTTGATTTGTCTGGTTTTTAATACACTTATTTAGACATAAAGCATCCATGTTCTTATATATATAAGAACACATTTTCACTGAATTTGTTCATCTTTGATCTTACATGTAATCTTAACTCAAATGTAGGTCAGCTGAATCTTTTTGAGCTTGTGTTTTTTGTGACTTTGTGACAAAAAAAAGGAAAAGAAGGGAAGAGGGGATCAAGGAGGAAGGAAATGACAGAAACATCCTCGGAGATATCCACAGATATCAGGTTTCAGTAGGAATGTTGGTTAAGATGGTTATTTGACATAAAATTAGAAAGGGTGTATCCTGCAACCTGAGACGACACAATCCAACCAGTGACCACGGCCTAGATGAGATATAATACATCTGCACCATAGCACACACAAAGAACAGACCTATTTGCTACATATAGAAGTTTCTACACCTACATCCTTGGATTTCATCTCCACAATGGCTGAAAGTCTCTTAAAGTGAGCAAGATTCAGCCCAACGAGCTACACGAGAGGGTCTTTGTGTTGTGACTTCAAATACAGCTTTCATGTTTGTGTCGGAAATAAAGAGCTAATCCAATCGGGAGAGTCCTTCACAATGCTGTCACATGATACTTAGTCAGTTTGTGTACAACACACAAATAACACAGTGTTTGACAATGCACTGATATATAGTTCTTTCAAGGGGGGGCGTCTTGAAGTTGTTGTTTTTTACGTGCTTACATAATCAAGGCAGTCAGTGACGTCTGTAAGGAGGTCATGCTGCCTAAGGCAGCAGGACAAAAGAAACCCAGTGTGCTCCTCCCATCAAAATGACAGTTTGAGCTACAAGAAGCAGGTAAACATTGTCCACCAGTGTGGTCAAACATTGGCATTGTAAAATTCAAAGCACTGTTATTCTGAGCTTTCAGAGAAGGAGGCTGCAGTGTTGTTAAAACATAAAGATGTTGGCTGTTCTTCCCTCCCATCTGCTGGAATTCACATCCGCCTATTAGTGGGCCCCCACCATTTCTCAACGCCGTGTCCTCTGTAGATTAAGTGGTGGAGAAATGTGAGGCTCGGCCTTGTTCACGAGACAACACTGGCATCTTTGTTCTAGTTCCTCCTCACTCTTATCTCTCTGAGATGTTAAGAGTCTTTATCTGGTTAATAGGTCCTTAATGTTTAGTCTATCTATCTATCTATCTA